CTGAGGTTTAGCTCCATCAAATTCATCCAGTGCAACCAGTCTCTATTTCCTAACCTGTCCAGTGGTTATGTTTACATTTACATTTACATTTACATTTACATAATACTACATCTATTCAATAAGTGAAGAAGATCAGGTAAACTCATACGCAAATATAATATATGTAAATATTGAATTTCCATATATGAAACACAGTTTATATGTACAAATATGTAAAAAATTATATATGAAACCTTTTAGAAATTGGAACAATTTCATATATTGACGTATATATGTAGCCTATAGAAATATATACATTTATGTACATATGTTTATATTGTTGACATGTGTTACTGTTATATATATATATATATATATATATATATATCCATCCCACAGCCCGTCAGTATATGTTCTATTATAAACAGAAGAGTCCAAAAGTCTGACACACTTTCCCAGAATGTGAAGTTAAACATTAATGAGAAATTAATAAGATAAACATATGTATGTTGTTTTAATCAACTTGCATAAATAAATTACAGATATAATGTTAACACATCATTTTTACATAGAAAACATACAGTCAGTGTTCTATATAAAATATTCTTCACATTGACTTGTAGCCGGTCAGACATGTCAGGGTGTTGGAGGTGTTAATGGAGGAGATGCTGCTGAAGAGATTCCTGAACATAGAGAAGGGTTAGCGTTGACTGCTCTGATCGTGACCCGCAGCTTGTTCCACCACGGAGGAACCACAGACCAGAACCGTCTGGACTGTGATGTTCTCGTGTGCAGGGAAGGTTCTGCCAGACCTCGTTCCCTCGGAGGAACGCAGTGGCTGAGAAGGAGCTTAATTTGGAAGGAAGTCTGACCTCATCCTTCAGATCTGATAGTGGTGTACAGTACATTGGACAACTCGGTGTCTACTGTTCAAGTGAGTGCTGAAGCTATATGCAGAAACAATTCTCTAGTGATTGACCAGCAGGGGGCGCTGACCTCCACTTCATCAATAGTTGGTTACATTCACTTGGTGAGGAGTTCAGATCTGGAGAGTTTGGAGGTTATAACGTGTGTTATATGTCCCTGGACAGTTTGTGTGCTGAAGTATTTGACTAATCCAGTGACATAATAATACATTTGTTGAGTTTGTCTCATGAAAGAAAACAACAACTCATATTAATGTCTAAATGTTTGGAGAAACTGAATTTGTTCCAGCTGCAGTGTGAAGGTAGTTTTCAGCTAAAAAACCCCGGTTACTTATGTTATGCACAGATGTATGTGCAAAAGCTTGACGTGTTTAATCAAGTCGTCCTCGTGTGAAGTTTGAGCAGCGTAGATCCATTCTGATACAGATAAGTGATCAGTCAAAGGCCGTGCACAACCATGTCAAACCCACACAGCTGATTTGCTGCAGCTGATACATAGAGTTTGTTCAAGCATTAATCAAAACATCTTTAATTAACACCTACATTTTTTGGATTTTTAATTACAAACTTTAGAGGAAAATACTGAAAGATGGACAGAATATTCAAAGTTCCTCTCGGAGATCTGATGCTTTCACAGTCCTCTGATTAAAAATGCTTCGTTAATGTAAAAGTAATCTGTGTAACAATCTCTATAATTTCAAGAGCATCTCAAGCGCATTCATTCACTGTGTCTACTGATCCTGATCTGGCTCCTGCGTCTGTTTTGCACAGTTGATCCATCACAGTGACTGAGTCATTGCTCATGTACAGCCCTCCCTTTGAAGAGTTATCAGTCACTGACATGATGATGATTTGTGGAACTGAAAACTGTGTAAATGGTCATGAAATGTTAATTATCATATGTGCAGTATCCATCAGCTCTGTGCTGGAGTTCTCTTGCCAGTAAATACTGTGACTTGATTCTTTTCAATATTCATCTTTTGATCTAAATCATATGACACATGCAGCGTTTGTGATGTGTGTCCTCTCTGCAGTCAAAGATAAGATGTTGTAAGGTTCTGAAAAACATCACAGGAATCCTCTGTCATTTACTTGTGAAACAACATGTCATGTGATGATGTTTTGAGCTTCCTGTAACGTAGCTACCGTAATCTTTTCTCTTGTTAGCCGCCTCGTCCACTGCAATAACGCAAGAGCTTCACACTGTGTTCAGATGCTCAGCCAAAACACTTTTAACTTAAACCTCTTTAAAACTGCCCAGAAAATTCATAAATGTATATTGAGCTTTGTAAGTCCTCTGCTGCTCTCGCAGGGTGTTGCTCTGGTGTTTTCTGCTGGAGCCCTCCATGATAGAAACGTCTGCAGAGGCATCTAGTGGCTCTGGATGAGAACAGTCACGGCTGCACAGTTTGTGTCTGACGACTCACAACAGCGTTTCGTTCATGGACTTTCAAAAAAGGAGAAACAAACAAAATTATAGAAATATTTATTTGCAACATCAAAAAAAGGTATACAAGGAAGAATAAAGTGCTTTGTACTTTAGATTTCTTTTTCTTTTCAGCTTGTTTCAAATAGGACAACAGCTTGCTGAGTGCATTTTTATCTCCGAGCAGGGGGTTGGAAAATCTGTAGGTTAATACGAAGCAGGAAGACTTTGCAGCAAAGGAAACAAAAATTACTATGTCTGTTACACAAGGTGGCGTTTACACTGGTCGTTTTTCTCGTACTCAGGCAGACTCCTGTTCTGTATACACTGCCAATCAAAACAACGTTTTTTGGCATTTTTGGATTCATCTTCAGCCAGTTAATATAAAGTTCTTTATGAATAACCTTAAAGAGAGTTTGATGTCACACCTGTCTGTGCAACCAATCAGAAATCAGCAGCTTTTCTCACAGAACAAACGCAACTTTCAAATCTGATCAAACCACTTTCAAAGTGTTAAACTGAGATGATTTCGTACAGAACTACTGTGGATTTACACAGGAACATTTTGGTGTTCGGGACATTCAGCGTCCGCTCCGTAGTTAAAAGACATTGCCAGGAAACTTTAAGTATCTTTGAACAGTTAAGCATCTAGAAACTGAACCTCAAAAACACGTCTACACATCCACTATAGAACAAATGTACAGTAAAATACACTTTCATATCGTAACGTGCAGTTAGTCTGTTTCAGAGGCTTAGACTGATCCATATGTAGGTTATTCACAACTGTTTGTCAGCTCTTATCGGCTGCAAACCTTTAGAGTCAACTCTGAATACAACATTTTTCTTTTGGCTGGCAGCGTGTGTTTGTCAGGAAGTCTGTTCACATGTGCTTCAGATGTTCCTTCATGTTCAGCAGGTTTTGCAATGAATGAAAATTTAGACAATTGAGATTTTGAAATCTAATACTATCAAATGCTTGTTGCATCAGTCTGCAGCCACTCTCTCTCACATGAATTCAAAAACACACACACACACACACACTCCCACACACTTGCTCAAGCAATATAATTAGCAAAAATGAAAAAATAAATGAATAAAATAAAATACAAAGTTGTTCAAGAATGAGAGTTGTAGTATCATCAGGTGCAGCAGGTTTCCTGGTCTGACAGCTGATGGTCCCATCTAAAGGTTACAGGGGTGAATCCGTTAACTCGCTCGTCTACATCACGGCCCAAACTGTATTTAAACATTTTAGTTGGTTTCACTCCCAGAGGTTTAATTACAGGTTATTTCTCTATGACTGATATTTTCTAATCAGCATCGCGCCATCTGCGTCTCCCAGGGCAACTGATTTCTGAGTGTCATCTATCATACAACCACCGTGACACCTTCCGGTTCAAACCGCTTCTCCATTTATCCCTTTTTGTTTCCTGTTTCCACCTTAGGCTGCGTGCACCCTGCGTGCACCCTGCGTGCACCCTGCGTCAGAGGCGCTCCGTGTTTCACTTTTCCATCTCCAGACCTTTGGCGAACAGCGACAGCAACACACACATGAATTAAAAGCCACTTCTCAGTGTTGTTTCTGGTATCACTGGCTGCGGCCTCCACAAGAAACACACCAAGAATTAAAGAAAAACATTTGAAGTGGTTCATAAAATAAACTAATAGAATTGATATTAGATTTGGTATCTATAACTCTAATAAAGACCCTGGTTTCTACCGAGTTAAATATTCTGTTTTGTTTCCAACATATTCACTTCAACGAAACTTCAAATGCAGTGAAACAGCGATAAATCCAGACGTGTGTTCAGAGTGATTGTCTCTGCTACACCCGGTGATTGCACTTGACACGGTCTCATTGGTTTCCTGCACAAACAACAACAGTTTCTCCCTGATGCTCAAATACTAGAAACACAGAGAGAGAGAGAGAGAGAGAGAGGGAGGTTGTTGTTTTGTTTGTTTGTTTGTTTGTTTGTTTTTTATGAGTGTCCGGAACAGAACAGACCGTCTCACAAAAAGTGCAAATAGCAGACTATGCGGGGAACTACTGCAGGCATGATGACCACTGAAATCCATGAAGCATATAAATCGATCACACTGATAAAAGACTGCATCTGAAAAAGCTCAGTCCTCTTCAAAAGGGAGGAGAAGTACATCAAAAAAAAAAAAAAGTGCTATTGCTTTCATAGAATCTCTTGTTTACATTCACAGAGACAAAGAAACTCTCAAGTAAAGTACGTTTCTACAACATGACTCAATGACTCAAGTGTCGGGACTTTCCTTTGGTTGTTAATTCACAATAAAAGAGCGCGAACAGCCCGTCAGTGCTTCCATTCATCGTCCTGCAAAATCAGTCCGATTGTTTGTTGTTTGTTTTTATGGCTCTCTGAGGAAATGCAGTTGCATGTGCCGAAGGTTATTTAGGAAAACAATTTCTTCTTTTTATATTTCTAATTTTTTTTTCTTTTTCTTTTTTTTTTTTTTAAATCCCAATGAGAAGAAGAAAAGAAAACAAACATGTGAATATAAATCAACACTGGCAAGGCAAAGGGGTTGAAACGTGCGATCCAACACTGAACAACGTCACCGAGAGATCCTTCTTCCGGTTCAGTCTCCCGCAGGTGAAAGAGAGAGGAGGGACGCAGGGGGGAGGGGGGGGGGGGGGCTCTTCAGGTCTCCTGCTCGCTCTTATAGGTCACGGGGTCAAGAGGGATGGCAGTCTGTAGGATGTCGAACTCCATCTGGTTATTGTCCATGTCCAGGACGCACATGACGCTGTGGCTGCCCGACATCACGACGGGACTGTCCTGGAACATGTTTTGGAAGTCTACAGAAACCGAAGTCCTCCTCTCCTCCGTCTTCTCCTTCCCTGCGACCTGAGAGGAGTCGAAGATGTCGTCCTCCTCCTCCCCGCAGCTCAGCGCCACCTCGTTCTCGTAGCAGAAGGCGCTCAGCGACCTGGGGATCAGGTCCTGCGTGGTTCTGCACGCAGAGGCGGGAGAAGCGGCGGCGGCGGCGGCTGCAGCAGAAGAAGAGGCCCGACTCCCGGCCTCCTCCAGCTCTTTGGCGCTGAGGTGAGGCGTCGACGCCACCTCGTAGGTCTTGTGGAAGCGGCCGTAGTCCACCTTGTAGCGGTCCCGGTCCTCGTAGATCACGGGCTCAAACCTGTGACCCCAGAAGATCTCTCTGGCGAGGTAGGAGCTGCGGAACTGCGTGGTCATGGCCGTGGCCTCCACCATCCCCTCCAGGATCACGACGATCTCGAAGTCGTCCGTCTCCAGATCGGCCCGGCTCAGCGTGTACAAGGGGCTGTCTCTGTCTATCTCGTGGACTATCACCAGCGGGGACACGAGGAACAGCCTGTCCGTGCCCTCGTCGTAGCCCACGTTCAGGTCCATCTGCTCCAAGGGGATGAACTCGCCCTCGGCCGTGACGTAGGAGCGTATGAGCTGGGCCCGGACGTGCGCCTCCACGATGTGGCTCCTCCGCAGGTTGCCCACCCTCCACATGAGGCACAGCTTGCCGTCGCGCATGGCGATGACCGCGTTTTTGGAGAACACCAGGGTCTGGTTCCTCTTCTTCGGCCGCGCCATCTTGGCCATGATGGTGCCGATCATGAAAGAGTCAATGATGCAGCCGACGATGGACTGGACCACCACCGTTATCACGGCCACGGGGCACTCCTCGGTAACGCAGCGCCAGCCGTAACCGATGGTGGTCTGGGTCTCCATGGAGAAGAGGAGCGCCCCGACAAACCCCTGGACGTGAAGTATGCAGGGCATCCTCTGCGGCTGCCCTCCAGCTGTGTGTCCAGATGTGGGCCCGTGCAGTCCGCCCACCGCCAGCCCGTCGCCCTTCGCCGCAGGTTGCTCCTCAAAGTCCCCGTGTGCCAGGGAGGCGGTGTAGAAGATAATGCCAAAGAAAAGCCAGGACACCATGAAGCTGGTGCAGAATATGAGCAGCAGGTATCTCCAGCGGATGTCCACGCAGGTGGTGAAGATGTCGGCTAGGTAGCGCTGCCTCTTCTCCTCCATGTTGGTGAATATAACATTGCACTGTCCATTTTTCTTCACGAAGCGGCTCCGTACTTGGCTGGAGCCTCTTGTCAGAATCTTGCCGTTGTAGTCGTTCATCACTCCTTGTCCCCTGGCGGTGGGCGCGGCGGCAGAGGCTCCCGACCTCCTCCGGCTGTCTTCTGTCTCTATGGCGCAGGCCGAGTGCCGTCGGAAGTTGGGGTTACTGTGGCCGTTGTGGAGACCCAAGCTCGAGATCTTCTGGCGTTCCTCCTCCGGTAAAATGTCTGACACAATGCTGTACCTGTCAACAACAGAGAGAGAGAAGGGGAGGAATTAGATGTGATGTGGTCATTTATTTGAATGATCAGTGTGTTTTATTTCAAGAGAGAAATCAAACCCAAACGTCCATTTGAGAGTTTCATTGTGAAGTTCCTGTGATGAAGGGTTTGTACAGTGTGGAGGAAGAGGAAGAAGGAACAGGAAGGCCGCTTATGGAGGCATTAATCTTACTGATCCTCGTGTACTTTCCAGTGTACAGAGACACTATGCACCATCTCACAGACGGAGCGGAAGGAGGATAATACCCTGACTCATTAGGGAGGGAAACGAGGGCTGAAGGCAGTGATGGAGGAACAGGCCCCGTCCGGTGTGTGAGGGGACACCAGTGAGTAAATACGGTGGTTGAAGACTTTCTCTTAACTCCCAATCACAAACAATCACTCAGACCAACTGAACTCCTGCACACCTGAGTGTGTACGAATCAAACTAACCCGTCCCTCTCCTTTACATGGAGGATTAGCAGCTGGGAAGGTGAGTTCAGTTTAGCTACGTGAGAAGGATCGCTGTCATCACAGATTATTGGATTATATCTGAGTCAGTGTCAACCCCGTTCTCATCTGGACATTGGTAAATGTTGGTGGAATAGGGTAGGAGTAGGGTGAACGGATGTTATGTCTCGCAGTCAATCGTCCGTCCATCCACTGAAGAGAGAGATCAGGTGTTCGAAGGTGGAATTTCCCTCCTTTCTTAATAACAAACCTGGTTTTTGTCTCACTGTGACATGAGGAGAAAATTACAGTTTGTACAAAACCATAAGAGCAAGGAAACCCCTGTTCAATAACTGTGACATAACTAAAGTTAAACCAACCAAAGGCCATATCTGAAATGTTGATGACGTGAAGGCAGGAGCTCTGTGTGTCGGGCCGCTCAGGACAGTGTAGGACGGCTTTGGCCTTTCTAAGAATCTGCTCGCTGTAAATATCTCTGAGCTGGGCCTGACTCACCTGGACCAGCTCGCCACGTTACCACGCCCCTTCTCCCCGGCCGTGTGGAGACTTCCACCACACAACAATAAATAATTAATTCATTTGTTTCTGTAAAACTGGGCTGTGGCACAGAACTGCTGTGACTCTGTAACACAATAATAAATAATAATAATAATGATAATGAACTTTTTATTTTATAGAACCTTTCAAACAAAGAAATGTGCTTCACGTGAAAAGACATAAAATGAACATAAAAACATGTTAAAGCATTGATCTGAAATGAGAAACATTAAAAACATAAATGTAAAATGAGATAAAATAATAAATAAAATAGTTAGCTAGCTTTGGGCCGTAACTGACAAAAGGCTGCAGCTCTAATTAAACTCATAATCAAAATGAAATGAAATGAAATCCAATGGTTTTAAAATCCAAGCAGAGACATTGCTCAAAACTGAAGCCGTTTTGTTCTTGTAAATAAAATGTGTAAATTTGCAGTAAATTTAAGAGCAGATTCAGGCCTTTATGAAACTCGCCACGACCACGTAAATCAGACAAAAAAATTCCTGTCAGTCCAAAGCGTCAAAGTCCTGGACAGGATCCTGAGATTCCAGATTAAATCCCTCACCTGTTGCACCTACTTGTTCCCATGGCACCAGTGATCACTGGTCAGGGGGGTTGGGGGGGAGGGGGAGGCCAGACTCTGTCCTGCTCCCAGAGATCAGGTCTCCAGCATGGAGGTGTGACGACCACTGAGGAGACAGGGACATGAACAGAATCAGCACGTCATCAAATTACAGCATGTGTGCAGCTATATGTCCTGGTTTTCCTCAAGGACTCGTGTTTGGATTTTTTTTTTTTTTTTTGGTCATTGTCATTTCCTGTTTTATTTTGAAGCAGCTTTCCTTGTGTGTCTCTTGTTGTAATTTACTTCCTGTCTCTGTCCTGTTTCCCTCCTGTTTGATTGTCTCTAATGTGTTTCACCTGTGTTTCTATTGCCGTCTGTATCTAAGTCTTCCTCTCTGTCCGTCGCCTTCATGTGGATTCCTCTGGATCTCCACTTTTCCTTCGTGTTTCCTGTGTCGTCGGATTTTCTGTTTTTGTTCCTTTCTGGTTTATTTTGGATTCATGGTCATTTTTTTAATTTTATTTTACCCTTTTTGTTATTTTATAAAACACCTTTTTTCAACTTTCACCTTGGGTTCAGCTCTTCCTTCAAACCTGACACTATATCTTCTGGAAGAGAGATTATTTAAATCCAGAGAGTTACTGAGAAGAGGCTCTTTAACAAATGCAAAACCTTCTTCGTCCATGTTTGAACCTAATCTGACATCGTTCCGTGTTGCCTGGGGGTTTTCATGTCTGCTTGTTGTGTGTTGTTTTACTGAGCTTAAGATGTGGATTTAGACATAATCCTGATTTGATTCTGTGAAATATCTTAAGGAGCCGTGACCTTGTGTGACCCCGCTCTTCAGAAAACATACAGCTATAAAAGGATTATCTTTTCGGACGGAACCACCGTGTGTTCCTCTTATTTCAACAGAGATGTACATTTACTAAAGATGAAATCCTTGTCTGTGGCTGTTTTTGATCTGCATGATGATTATAGATAAAACAGTAAGAAATTGTTTAGATACAGTTAAACAACCTGTTCTCAGTCTAATAATCTTAAAGCAAAAGATTAAGCAGTGATCATTCACTCTGTATGACTCCGCTGACAGGGTTGTTTCTGTTTCAAACTTCCTCCAAGTTTAAAGACTTCAACAACTTTTCTCCTGAGTCTTAAACGAGTGTTTTTTGTTTTTTTTTCTTTTCACATGAAACCGTCCGTCCAGAAATACAAAGAAAAGAAAATCCTGTCCCATAATCTTTCCACCGTAACACCTGTGAGACGACGCAGATGTGAAGGTTGCAGCTGTTTGTCCTTTCATTTCATTTCAACTCACTCACTTGAGGATGATGTCACATAATGAGGAGGAGAGGATGTTTCAGACTCACACAGGTACATCTGTGTCTGCATGTGCACGTGCACTGTACACAAGGATTATAATATCTTTATGTTTTGTGTGTGTGTGTGTCTCTGTCTCCACGCAGGTCGTCCTCGTGTCGGCTCCCGACCAACAAGTCGGCGGTGGGATAACTTCATCCACCTCCGAGCTGATTCCACAGACTGAAAGGAAGAAGCAGCCAGTGAACGAGCCGCCGTCACTCACGTTTCTCTTTCTGGTGCAAAAGGTTTTATAGAAACTGATCGTGATGCTTTTAATGAACAGGAAGCCAGGAGAGAGAGAGAGAGAGAGAGCACAGGTACTGACGTGTGACACACGCACACACAAAATACAAACCAGTTAATGGTCACCAGGTAAAACTGGGGACTTTCACTGAGGCCAGTTTCCATAGGAACACGTCTCCTGTGGCATTTTGGGGGATTGAGCGAAGTGGAGAGACTCACCAGAGACACAGTGGTGTGTGTGTGTGTGTGTGTGTGTGTGTGTGTGTGTGTGTGTGTGAGTGTGAGTGTGTGTGGTGGGGGGGCACTAGTATACAATATTAAGTGCTCTTATAGCATGAGTCAGGGTGAGGGAGAGATGTGAAATGGTGTAAGACCCTGAACACAACACAGTACAACAACATCTACAATTGATTTTAAGTAGATTTTAAATGAGATGAAAAACACAAGCGAGGAAACGAGGAACATGTTGTACGTTTGCGTTTTCCTACTTATTTAATGATTTCACTCAATCTTTAAGAAATAGTTTGTATTGTTTTTTGATTGTCTGAATTTTTTGTTTGTTTTTTTTATCATTGTAAATTGATAAATCTTTTAATCTGACAAAACAAGCAAATCTGAAGACGTCACCTCAGAAATAATCATCAGGTTAGCTGATCGTTGCTAGCTGCAGCTAACTGTACACATGTCTGGTAAGCATATATATCCACACGTCCTGTCTATGCAGCCGTGTCGGACGTGCATCAGTGTGCACGCCTGCGTCAGACTTTGCTGTGCTGTGGAAGTCTTTTACTGTATCTCTGCATCACTAACTCCTTTCCTAATCCCACAAATCACAGATTAATAGTCAGTCATATGTAATCTCTCACACTGAAATAAGGAAGGTGGGGTCGTTCTGTAATGAGCGACTTCCTGGAGATCTCCTGACTGTTAATCCCAAAAAAAGAAGAGAGAAAGAGAAAGACAAAGACAAGCAGGTTGGACGGGCGGAGACTGGGATTAAGAGGCAAAAAGTGTCCACTTCCTGTTAAGCTTTTGGTAATCGCCCCCGATGAGACACTATTACATCAGCCACAAAAAGAAATTACACGTCCACTGTGAATACGGGAGCTTCTTCTCTCCAGATATGGCCTGGCAGATGTGGTGTCTAGTGGAGCAATTATGCAAAGTGGTCTGACTCACTTTCTGTCATATGCTGTTCCTAACTGGTCACTGAAGACAGGAAATGAACCTCACTCTCTATAAAAGACGTGTATAAAAGTACCAGATGCATTCAAAGGCAAATTGCAAATTAAAGATAATAAGAGAATAACCTTCCTACATAGATTCAGTCTGATAAGAGAAAACATTAGTGATGTTATTAACTCAATATAAGAACCTGCTGAATCCCTCTCACTCTTCAAACTTTTATTTTGTGCGTTTGTTTTTTCACGCAGAACTGATCGATACGCTCCCTGCTCTCACCTCTGCTTCGTCACGAGCCAACCCACAGAGAAGCAGTCAGCCGTGCAGAGAGTTTATTCCCACGCTGCCGCCACATCCCAGACAACATCTATATGCTCCTATTTTAAATCTTTGCAACACATACACGTCCCGGTTCATACGTAGATATAAAACATCTTCAATTTATAATATGTTTTTTCAATGTATTTTAAATCTGATTTTAGGGTTAAATACAGTTACTTTCCTCTCTGGTGTCTCTTCTCATCTGCAGACCTGAACGATGAATGTTTGTTTACTGGACACAAAGACACAGAGAGAGAGAGAGAGAGAGAGAGAGAGAGAGAGATCACCACCATTGTGTCTGCAGGTGGTCGGTTAGTATCATACCTATTACCTAGTTTAGCTGCTGCTTGGTCAGAGAGTTATTTGTCAGTTTCTGAGACACGACTTGTTCAGAGGGACGTGATCAAGGCGAAGCAGATCAACCAAACAGATTAGATTTCTCTCAGCAATGAATTTGTTCTGAACATGAACTAAGAAAATCATTTTTACTATAAGTTGTAAGATCCTCCACGATAGTAGACTTTTGTTTTGCATTGGCCTTATTTTCTGTGAATTTAAGGCTTAATTGCAAACACACAGTTTGTATTAAAGACCAGGATCACAGCGCTCTTTAAAACTTTCTCCATTAGTGTAATGAGCTGATAATTCCCTCTGTTTACCTGCAGCAGGCACCAGGTGTCACGAGGCTTCACCTTTCCCTCTCTGAAGTCTTTAGATACTCTTTGGTTTGATTTCCAGACTAACCCACAAAAACAGACCAAAAACCTGGAAAAAAAAGAGAAGGAGCGACCTCTTCGTGCGTGACGTTATCACAGCGCCTTCGTTTGAAGCGTATCAACAAGTGCGCAACAGCATCATTGCCTTAAGGTATATCTTCTACCTGCTGTGCACTGATATGCTTCCAGCTGATGGTCTCACACGTGCTGCAGAGATTTACAGTGAATGCGGGAGCAGAGTGACTGTTCACTCGATCACACACACGACACAGGAGTTTCCATGATGCCCGAGCTTCAGTCTGTCTGACGCAGTGCTTATTCTGCTGTGATCTCTGTGACAGCTCCCACAGCAGCTCGTAACGTCTGTCCAAGTTGTGAAATGAGTTTATTCAACAAATTAAAAAACAACTTCATCCTTCAAACTAGTGTTGTGTACATCTGCCGACACTGAAAGTCTAACTGATGATAATTAACACTCACCCTCTAAGTCAGTTGTTGTTTTCTGTCTCTTGGTTGTGTTTTAAATTTCCTTGTGCACCTTCACTTCTCAGAGTCCCTCTGTCACTGTCCGGGGCAAAGGTCCCACATCCTTGGACTTGTGTGGTTTGCGATCCCTTCCCTTTTTAGTTTCCTCCTCTAGTTTCTTCCTCATCGCTTATTCATTGTTTCATTGCTGTTGTTTCTCCCTTTTAATCCTTTATTGTCCTCCGCTGCCTCCTTCGCCGACTGTAATCCCGTCTGTGCGCACTCTCCTGTGTGTGCTCATACACCCCGAGCTGAAAATGCTGTGTCAATCTCCCCTCTGCAGAGCATGGGGAGGGAGGGAGAGAGGAGAGGAGAGGATGGATGGATGGATGGATGGAGGAGGAGAGGAGAGGAAAAGAAGAGAAAAGGCAAATAGAGAAAGGATGAGATGAGACTATAGACTTTGTCTGTTGCTCTCTCTCTCTCTCTCTCTCTCTCTCTCTCTCTCTCTCTCTCAGCTTGTGTAGGTGTTGAACGCCTGATGTGCCCATGTGAGCGAGCAGAAACTCATTTGAGTCATGATTTCCATGCTCTCTGTGAGGAGCAACAGAGATGATGCTGTAACAGGTGGGAGAAGAAGGAAAACTATCATGTTTCGAGTTTACCCTCACGGTTTTATCAAAACACCACAGTGATTACAATACAGGGGCTTCACTGTAAATGGGCCTTTTTAC